AGCATCTGCTAAAGTTGCATCTCTTTATCAAGCTTGACACTTTCTAACTCTGGATTCTATTTTCTATCTCTGTAAATCTCAAATCCGTCCTTGTATGGAATACTGTTGCCATATCTGAGGCAGATCTTCTAATAATGCCTCTTCTCTTTTAGACAAGGTACAAAAGTGCATTGTAAACATAGTTGGACCTGCTCTTGCAGCCAGCCTTCAACCATTATTACATTGTCATAACGTTGCTTCTCTTTCTCTTTTCTACAAATACTATAATGGGCATTGCTTTAAAGAGCTAGCGCCTCTTGTACCATCTACTAAAATTCACTCTCGTGTTACTCATTATTCAATTAAGTCTCATCCTTTTTCTGTTACTGTTCCTAAGTGCTCCAAAAACTCTTATTCGTCTAGTTTTTTCCGCGAACATCAGTTCTTTGGAATTCGCTTCCTTCATCTTGCTTTCCTGATTCATATTATTTGCAATCATTTAAGTTGTCTGTCAATCGTTATCTTGCTTTACAATCTTCATCTTTTCTCTTCCAGCAACTTCCAACACTAATTAGTGGTTGCTTGCAGCCTTGTTGGAAGCAAAGATGATGAAAAGTATATATATATAATATATATATATATATATATATATATATATATATATATATATATATATATATATATATATATATATATATATTTTAGTATATACTTTAATATATATTTTGATGGAATTTTTTTTTTTATAGTATTTTTTTTGAGAAAATTTATTTTTATAATCATTTTGAGAAATTTTTTTTTTATAATAATAAAAATAAATTTGCCACCTCTAATTCCAGTAAGTACAAGGCGTGTTTAACAAGTTTCTTTATATGTTTTAATACGTTTTTTAAGACATCTTTTGCTTACTTAGATAAAAAAAAGTTAGCTAAAGTTGTCCATATGCAAAATAAAACAAAAGCAAATGTGACCCAACTTAATTTTCTACCTTTTCAATTTATAAATATATATATATATATATATATATATATATATATATATATATATATATATATATATATATATATATATATATATATATATATATATATATATATATATATATATATATATATATATATGTATGTATATGTAAATATCTATATGTAATATCTATATGTAATATATATACATATGTTTGTATACGTAAATATATATATTATATATATTAGCTTTGTTATATTATTAGTTTGATAAAGAAAACAAATTTTTTTTTTACAATAGGTGACCTTCGGAACGAAGTCAAGCTAGCAAAAGATAACTTGTATTTAACTTTACCTTTATTAGAAAAAGAATTTTTTATTTCATTTGAACTAAAACCAACATTTTATGCTCATGGATATCACAGTGTTTTAAGATTTGAATTTGGAAATGGAAGATATATAGCTGTTGGATTTGAAAATGGAGATGGGACATTGGTTATTAATTCAGTCTTATCAGTAACAATAAATAAAAGTGTTCATCCAGATAGTCGCCTTACTTTAAACAGATGGACTACAATTAAAATGTATCAGCAAGTATTTGGCAGCATGCACATTTACAGTTTAGAGGTTAATGGGAAACTTATTTTTACAAAGGTTAATGAAAATCCTGTAGATTTTACTTTTGTCACTGTTCATGCCTCCGAAAGTCGTCATCTTTCTCAAGCAGGATATTTTCGAAATATAAAAATAAGAAATGGCAATCAAGGTTTATTAAAAAAATTTTTATTTCAATTAATTTTAACTATACTTGTAATTTCAATATGAGTTTTCTATTGTTTGTATATCTTTCTCATTATTATTTATTTTATGACTAACCTTTTATTTAACCTTTTAATTTTATGACAGGAGCAAAAGAGTGCTCAGTGAGTTATTTGCTTCTTTTACTGACACAGTTTTTAAAAATTTGTTTAATAACAAAAAAAATTTTTTAACGGAATTGAATAAAAAGACTTTTTAAATTTTTTAAAAGATAAAAAGAAATTTGAAAAAAAGATATATAATTTACAAAAACTTAAATTTAAAAAAATGTATTGGCATTAACCTGCTTATATTTTGATACTATCACTAGAAAGGTAGAATCTAAAATCTAAAGATTCTAAATGAATTAAAATTAAGTTTTATATCAGAGGCTTTTCAGGTAAGTTGTCTTCACTATGATTAAGAAGGCTTCCTTTTTCTAGGTTCTCTAGGTTTTCTAGGTTAGTTTTTTTAACTATTAAAGATAATATATATCTTTAATAGTTAAAAATCTTATCTTCCTCTATTATGTGTAAATTCAAAAAATATATTTTACTCTAATGTTTAAAATGGTCCTAAAGTGGTTTTGTGATAAAGAAACATTTGAAAAGTTATATTTTTTTATTTTGAATTTTTATTTTGATATATTTATTAATTTAACGATTAAAAGATCAATATAACGATATAATTATCTACTATTTTAAATTTACAAAAAATAATTATTTCTTTAAATTATTTTTTTGCTTACATGCTTCTGTGTTTTGTTTTTTGTTATTTTTGTGTTATGTTTTTTTATTTTTAAAATTTTTTTTTGTGTTTTTGCTTATATACTTTTGAGTTTTCGTATGGATGTTTTTTCTTGTAAGCTTCATATATTTTAAAAAAAAGTAATCTTTTCAAAAAATGAATAAAAAAAAGTAGTTATAAAGGTTAAAGGTTTTTATTAAATCAAAAATGTTTGAAAAAAATTATTTTTAAAGTTTTCAAAAATCTGCATTGAAAAATAGTCCAAAATCTTTTTATTTGTTCTATTTGTTTTTTTCTTTTTTTTTATCTTGTCTTCAAAATATCTAAAATATAACAGCTAAAACTTTAACTTGATTTTTGAACATTTTTATCTGTAAGTTGGCTTTTAAGTGTGTAGATGAGTGATTTTGGAGTAGTAACTATAGTAACCCAGGAGTTAATATATAGTCAAACAACAAAAATGTGTTGTAAAATGTTAACTTGGTAATAATGCTTTGAAAATGACTTCACAAAAGTATAGTTTTCATAAAATAAAATTTTTTTCAAGGAAATTTACTGTTTTATGATTTCTTTTGAACTGCATTGTGCATTTGTTTGCTGTTTTTTATGAATTTTTGAATAATAATTTCATAATAAGGAAGATTCATAAAGAATCCATAATCAAATCCATAAAAACTCATTTGGAAAACATAAAATACAAAGACCTGCCAACAGAAATGTCTTCAGCTGGTCTTCCAACATTTTATCTAGTGAATCAGCTTTTTTACTTTACTAAATAACAATCAAAATATATCACAACAAAATATACTAGAGGAGGTGGAGGATTCACATAAAACTTCTTATAAAGTCTAATAAAGTAAATCCATGTCTTTAAAAAAATTCAATCTTGAAAAAGTAAGATTTATTAAACATGGACAAAACAAATCTAAAAGTAATCAAATCTATTATCAAGATTTGATTCTTTGATTTTTTTTTTCATATACATTTGATTTAAGAACAATCTCATGACAGAGTTAAAAGTAACATCATCAATTGCCAAGTAGAGCACAGCTTGTATCTTCATAAAACTAAAAAGGTAGTTGATTGAATTTTTATATATAAAGCATAATATGATTACAATGTATATACAAAATGACATATATATAAATATAATTTATGAAAAATATATATAAATATAGTTTATGAAATACCTATAAGTATAATTTATGCATATTTATATAGTTGTATTATAATTAAAACATAATTTATTAAAAGAACCATTATTGTAGTTATATTATAGGTATATACTCATGTTAATTTAAATTATTACTTATAATAATCACTGGTTATTTTATTTTATCATTCCAATTTGTTTTTGCACAATTTGTTTTAAATTTAATAGAATTTTCTTAGTCATTCTGTAAAATATACTGTTATTGTTATGAATTATTGATAAATAACATTTCTAAGCAAAATTATATGTAATTATTTTACTTAAATTCACTTTAAATTTAATAAGTTGATATAATTGTGAATAATTTGATATAATTGATATAATAAGTTGATATAATTGTGAATAAATAAGTGAATAATTTCACAAGTTATATTTAAGGCCTCTTCTGAAGGTAAGGCATATACTAGTGACAAGAGAAATAAGATTGGTCCTCAAGGTAGTTTCCAGTTAGGATAGACTGATCTAAAATCTGGCACATTTGCTACAGAAAGATTAATTCAAGTAAAACATATGGATCATGTTTAATTGTCTACCTGGCAAAATTTCACATTTATTGATTCTGATCATATTTCTAAAGCTTCATTATCGGATTGAGATGCTTCGGTAACTTACAGTTGTGTTCTTTTAAAATTATAACATATTTCTTTAATTTTTTGTAAATTGAGATTTTTAAGTATGCATATAAAATTTCAACATTTAAATTTACAATGGAGGCATTGAAACACTCCTCAACATTGAGAGAAAAAAATTAAAAGCAAAACTAAAAAAAATCTTCAAAGTTGTTGAACCACATTATGTATTCTGTTTGTATTCTGGAATTTTATTTGTATGTATTCTGGAATTTTAAAGTCTATATTAAATGATCTTGTTAGCTTCTATATACAAGGATCTGATTACATTATTATAGTTTGCAAAATAGTTTTATTAATGAGATAAGTTTTGATTGATAAGGGAACAAATGAATTTTTCTTTTTGAGTTTTTCTTTTTAAGCTACAGTTTCTGTAGGTGTCTTGTGAAACAGCAACAGTAACAAATGCTTATCTTTTGAATTATTAAACATGGAGATCTTAATCAAATTGTAGATTGAAGCAAAATCGAGAACTACACACAGATTTTTGTTTTACTTCATTGTGTAAGTTAAAAAATATTTCTTTATTTTACAGTTTATATAAGTACTTGTTTAAAGGTTTGGATTTGTTTTATAGAGAGAAGAAAATAATGTCAAGGTGTGGTGCTCAAAATGATGTTGATTTAAATAACTTAGTGTGTTTGGGTGTTGATGGAAAAGATGTTTTTGAAAATTGAAACTTACTTATTCAAACGAACTAAAAAAGAACATCATTTAACTTTTACTTGAGTTAAATGATATTCTTTATGAAAACAGTTTTTAAAAAGGGTTCATATCTCCTATGCAATATTCTTTTACTTTAATAGTTTGGGTTTATATCTATCTTGCAATAATCTCCCATCAAATGGCATAACTGGTTGACTGCAAATTGAGCATATAAAATGTTCTGAAAAAGTTTTAAATCAGAGCATGCTCGTCTTTATAATATTGATGTCAATAGAGGATTCAATATGATGTCAATAGAGGATTCAATATGATGTCAATAGAGGATTCAATATGATGTCAATAGAGGATTCAATATGATGTCAATAGAGGATTCAATATGATGTCAATAGAGGATTCAATATGATGTCAATAGAGGATTCAATATGATGTCAATAGAGGATTCAATATGATGTCAATAGAGGATTCAATATGATGTCAATAGAGGATTCAATATGATGTCAATAGAGGATTCAATATGATGTCAATAGAGGATTCAATATGATGTCAATAGAGGATTCAATATGATGTCAATAGAGGATTCAATATGGGAATTGTTGAGTGCTTAGAAAAGAAATAAGGAAGAAAAATTCATTCAATTGGATAAACCTTGATTGAACTTCCATTCTAAAAAGTATTCAAAAATGTTAATGACAGCATCCAAATAAGTTTTCTGGACCTAATGGAAAGCAAATATTTATGAAGTTCCATCTTAATCCATAAGCAAGGTTTACCAAAAATCACAATCCAGTAAAGCTATTATATACTCAATAAAATCACAATCCAGTAAAGCTATATATACTCAATAAAGTGATTAACAATTGAAGCTATTATTAAAGAATTTTACTTGAATATAGCCTTGGAGTTTCAGAAGAATTTGTGCATCCCATGTTTTTTAACAGAATATGAATGAAGACTTTAGGATTTTGTATCATGATTTTGTGTAGAAGTACAAAGATTGTGATAATCTTTTTGTGTTGTTTTTTTTTTTTTGTATAGATTTTTTTTTTTTTGTATACATTAAAAAATGAGTTGCATACTTGAGTGTTGTCTTCCATTTCTTTGGGAAGGTAAATAATAATTAAAAAAAAAATGCATGGTTACATATTTAATAATATTTTATAATGATAAGAAAAAGTTTTGCATTAAAAATGAGATTTAAAAGCTAACTAAAAATAATAAAATCTTAAAAGATGTATGTTATTTATTTATTAGATGTAAAACTTCTTTATTTTGTTTAAATTTATATTAAAAAAAAACTATTTTTATAGTATGATTTTATAAGATTTGCAGGAAAACATAATAATTATTAAAAATTGCTCTTTTTTTGCGTTTCTTCAAAGTAAATCTAGTTTGTCATGTTTTTACTTAGAGAACTCATATTTTTACTTGTTTAACTTACTCCTGGGTTATTAAAATTAAATTTTTTAAGAAATATGAAAATCACTCCACTCTAAGACACAAAGTCTGTCTTTTCAAACAAAACTCAAATAAATATTTTAAAACTTCTTTATATATTTCAGGCTTTATTGTGAAACATGAAACTTTGCTGAAGAAAAGCGACGTGACAACATTTTTACCTAAAATGGAAAAAAAATATGTGATTTCATTTGATATTCGACCAAATGGGGTTCCTAACTCTTATTTTTACAACATTATTCATTTAATGCCTGCTAATGAGAATATAGATGCAGCAAATAATTATCCTTCAATTTGGTTTAATAAAAATAGTGATGGAAAATTAAATGTGGCTTCATCAACAAAAACTATATACGCATGCACAGAAAGTTGCCTTGCATTTAACACATGGAGTAAAATAACACTGTCTCAAGTTTTTAGAAATGGAGAATATGTTTACATCATTAAATTAAATGAAAACATTATTCACTCAGAGAAAAGAGACAATTCAGTTGAGTTAGAAAATATAAAACTTTATGTTGGTTCTTCTGAACATATCACACACAATGGGTTTATTCGTAATCTTTTCATTTCAAATCAAGGTTTCTTTTAATTTTGAATTTTTTTTTTTTTCAATAAAAAGTTTTATTTTAAATAACAATAATTATTTATATTTTTTATAGTAAATAGCAAATCAAATAAGAATTTATGTGGAGGACTACTGGATGTTGTTTTTTTAATTGACTCTTCAACAAATATGAAAGATAACTTTGCTAAAGTTAAAAGGTTTATGAAAGAAATTGCAAAATCATTTGGTTTATCCAGAGAGGGTAGTCATGTAAGCATAATTTTGTTTGGTTCTGAAGCAAAAGTTAGTTTGAAACTTTCTGATAATCAAGATGAAAGTACTTTTGATTCAGCTTGTGATTCCATTGATGAAAATGCATTTCCATCAACAAAAGTACCAATAAAGATAGAAAAAGCTCTTCAGTTAGCTCAAAAAGAATTATTTGTTCAAGCTAATACTGGTCGAGAATTTATTCCTAAAACTGTTATACTGATTACAGCTGGTAAGCAAAACCCTTCAAAATATGGTGAAAGAGTTGAGAAACCTTTTCCTTTTGCCTTAGAGTTAAGAGAAAAAGGTGTTTCTATTATATCTGTTGCTGTTGGATCAGAAATTGAAAAGTCAGAGCTGACAGGTATAACAGGAAACATCGAAAAAGTGTTTTTGGTTAATAACTTTCAAGATTTATTAGAAAATGAATTCCTTACTAAAGTTAAAAATTCTGCTTGTGGAACAGGTAAAAGTTGTTTTTACTGTAGAAACTTTAAAATATTTGATAGCATTATGTTTGAATTAAGATTTGTTTTATACCAGGTTTAAACGACGAACAACCATTAAAGAGAGGGAGGTTAATTGCTGTACTCCCAAAGTTTAGCAAACAATATTCTGTTTCATTGGATATAAAACCAATCTCATATTCATTGGGAGTCCAAAGTGTTCTCCGTTTTTCTATTGGCGAAACAAATGTCTCTCATGGTTTTCAGGTTTTTGCTATTTACTTTAAAAGTTTACTTGGTCATTTTGTTGTTAGCACAGAGATTAACAAAAACAAAAACTTTCAATACACATATCCAACAAATATTCCAATAAATAAATGGTTGGAGGTCACAGTTTCACAATACGAAACAGATGAAAATAAGTTCAATTTTGAAATTAAATTGAATGGAAAACAAGTATATTCTGTTGTCAACAATCATCCTGTAGATCATAGTAATGTTAAGGTATATGCTTCGGATCCTTATTTTCCAGCCTTAACTGGATTAATTAGAAATTTTAGATTTTCTAATGAAGACAATGGTAAACCAGAAAAAGGTATTAGAAAATGTTTTAAATTTTTATTTATACTTTTTTTAATGTGATTTTTTTAACAAACGATTTATATGCTCATAAAATATATATATATATATATATATATATATATATATATATATATATATATATATATATATATATATATATATATATATATATATACTATTTTTACTACTAGTATATATATATATATATATATATACATATATATATATATATATATATATATATATATATATATATATATATATATATATATATATATATATATATATATATATATATATATATATATACTATTTTTACTACTAGTATATATATATATATACTATTTTTACAACTAGTATATATATATATATATACTATTTTTACTACTAGTATATATATATATATATACTAATTTTACAACTAGTATATATATATATATATATATATACTATTTTTACTACTAGTATATATATATATATATATATATATAAATATATATATATATATATATATATATATATATATATATATATATATATATATATAACATTTTTACTACTAGTATATATATATATATACTATTTTTACTACTAGTATATATATATATATATATATATATATATATATATATATACTAATTTTACTACTAGAATATATATATATATATATATATATATATATATATATATATATATATATACTATTTTTACTACTAGTATATATATATATATATTTATATATATATATATATATATATATATATATATATATATATATATATATATATACTATTTTTACTACTAGTATATATATATATATATATATATATATATATATATATATATATATATATATATATATATATACTATTTTTACTACTAGTATATATATATATATATATATATATATATATATATATATATATATATATATATATATATATATATATATATATATATATATATATATATATATATATATATATATATATATATATATATATATATATATACTAGTAGGATAGCCAGCACAATTGCAGGAGGAATTAGTTAAGACTTTAAATTAGCTTAAGAATTTTAACTTGCCACTATGACATGCTACTACATAACCTGTTATGTAGCTACTATATAAACTGTTATTTAGCTACTACATAACCTGCTCATAGCTTCTACATAGCTACTACATAACTACTACATAGCCAGCTACATACCTACTACATAAACATGTAGCCCGTTACATGTCTATATATAAAATATAATATACAACATGTTTTAAATAAGTTGAAATAAAATATATTACATTGATTTTAGTGATGTTAAAATAAAAGTTGCAAAAGTTAAAAAAATAGCAATTTAATTAAAAAAATTTTAGTCAAAAAATATTACCTTTAGGTTTTTTGCAATATCAAACCAAAAGTTGTACTTGTTAATTTATTATGATGTCAATTTTTTTTTTAATTCTGATGGTCAATAGTGAATGATAATCCAAGAAGACATAAAAAAGAGGACTCAGTGAGAGAGTTGCCATTCATTAATATAGGAATGTTGACAGTATTAGGATAATTATTTGCAGTAAATAACAGAAGAAAAAAAACTTTATCAAAAGCTTTAGATATGTCAAAAGCAATAGCCTTAGCCTCTCCGCCTTTATCTAATGTAGAGCTCTAGAGCAAAAGGATTGAAAACCATATTGATTGTCTGATAGT